TGCCAAACTGGTTTGCATTGGGTTTCTCCAAAACTGTGCATGCACAAGGAAGCTGCTGATTCAAACAGATCAGCATCTACGGTATTAACATCACTAGAGACTACTTGGATGAACACCAAAGGATAGGATTTTATTGAAACACAAGGCATTGATGACGGATATATATGATTTCTGAGTGATATAACTGTCTATTGAAACAGTTGCCTCCTACTTGGAGAAGTAATGCAAAAAGGATGGGGGGGGTGGATTGAATCAAGCTGTGTAATAAGGTGCATGTGCAAAAACCAATTGTATTGTACTGAATGGTTAGGAAGGAATACAGTGAAATATGTTGGACACAAATGAAAAGATCGATGAACTATGAAACCCGTCTTTGAAAAATGAGGTGTCTGTTTACAACCAGGGAACAGAAAGCAAGTTGGAGAGGCAGGTGTCTGAGCATTCCTAGCTGCATTCCCAGAAGTTGCATAGCATTTACACAGCACTTTCCTTAAGTGGTCAAAAGATTTGCAAACATTATCATATTAAGCCTAACTGCCTAATAAAGTAAACTGAGGCTGTGGTCACACACACTAAACAATCCACTTTCAATGCACTTTCAGTGCACTTTACAAATGGATTAAGCCAGTTTACACAGTGAAAATCCAGTTTGAAAGTGGATTGAAAGTGGATTATTTAGTGTGTGTGACTGCAACCTAATATTATGATGTGAATGTTGTAAATGGCATGTGTATGTGTGCTGAGCAACAGTGGCTTGCCCAAAAGCACCCAGTAAATTCCTGGATTACCTGATATTTCAGAGAGGGTAACCGTAGTCACAAAGTGTTCAGAAACACTATGCGTCCTTGTCTCCCAAAGTTCATCCTTAAGTTTCATTCAGTAGTTTGTGAATTATACCAGGCAGATTCCCCCCCCCCACTGCTTCCCAGGTCATAAGGAAGTCTCAGAGTTCATGCCAGTATATGTTACAGCCCCCATACTGAAGCTGTTAACAGCTAACCACCACTTCCGCAAGGTGGTGCTCTACATGTGGACAATAATGTTTGTGAGCCTCTTACCATAAAGCATCACAAAAAGGGCTTATGTCCTAGTCTGGTGTTTGAAGGTGTTTTTTGCAGGCTCCAATAAAGGTTCAGGACTTAATATCATTTATCTATATAATAATTCTGTTTTGGTAATGGCACTCTCCTGAACATTCCACATGCTCCCAAATCAGTTGGTTCCCTGTTCTGTCACTCAGAAGCTGTCCCTATCCACTGGCTGTGTTGCCTGAGTCTCACTTCCAATATTCTAAACAGTTTGCTGTTCCTCTCCTCCCAATAGCCAGTCAGAACACAGAGGTCATTTGCAGATGTGGTCTGATTGGCCTTTGGCTCTAACATTCTAAACAGTTTGTTGTTGCTGTTGGGAGTCATTGAATGTGACCTGAGGTAAAACACATATCCCAATTTCCCCTTAAACAGTCACTGGAGTTGCCAAAATACATATCCCAATCTTCCCTTAAATGGTCACTGGAGTTGCCAATCTCCCTTTGGGGCCTGGAGATCTCCCAGAAATCACCGTGTACCCCAGCCATAGCTCATCATTTCTCCTACAGAAAATTTCCCAGCTATTACAATGGCTGCTTTGGGCAGTGGACTCTATGGCATTATACCCTGCTGAAGTCCCTCCGCACCCCAAACCCTGCCCTCCCCAGGCTCTACCCCTCCAATATACAGGTCTGGCCCTCTCCTTAGTATTGCCAGCCTCCAGGCAGCACCTGGAGATTTCCAAGATCAGTTCTCCTGGAGAGAATGGCTGCTTTGGGCAATGGACTCTATGGAATTATACCCTGCTGAGGTCCCTTTGTACCCCAAACCCTGCCCTCCCCAGACTCTACCCCTCAAATCCCCAGGAAAAAGACACCCCCCAAAAAGAGGGGAACAAATCTAAACCAACAAAGCACAAACCTCCTAAGGAAGTTTAGAAAAATAATAGAGGGTAAAAAGTTAAAAACATAATAAGTGTACAAAATAGTGTTTATTACAAAGACATATAAAAACCTAGTAGGGGCCCAAATTAACCCTCATAAAATGTACAAAGTTACAAATACACACAAAAGAGAACAGTGTATGACCTGAAACGTTTCGGCTCACAAAGGCCTTCTTCAAAGGTCAAATAATGCAAAATATAACAAGCAACAGAGTCCTTGTAACACATGTAAGGCAATTAACAATAAATAAAAATAAATAAAATAGGACCAAAATTGGAATGTTCCAATATGGAATTGAATGACACACCAAAAAGTTTCTATTTGGGGCCACAAATATATCTGGCCTTGTGTTGTGTAACAGTGATTGATGGCACATTGTCCCTGACAAGGCAATTCTATTTGCACTCTTAGGACCTAAACTGGAAGATACATAACATTTCCAGTGCATACAACAACTTCTGACACAAGGCCAGACCCTTGGAACCCAGAAGACATGGCATAGGAGGAGGTGCTTTTCTACTTTAGCTGCCACTGCATAACCCCAAATCAACATAAGTCAGGGGTGGAGAGAACCATACCAACCTTTTACCATGAGACTGTCCTCCCATACTACCCACTTGGGGCAGCAAAATGACTGGAGACAGCCCTGCCTTATAGCTAAGAAGAAGGAAATAAACATGGCCCTGCCTTCCTCTATTTTCTCCTTCCCTCTGCCGCCCCACCAGCCACAGCCGGGACACTCACCTGGAGCTTCCTTCTAGAGCTCGTTGTATTTCTTCCCGTTGTATTTCTTCCCTTACTCCTAGTCATGCATACGCAGAATTAGAACACTGATCAGCACTGATCATTCTGATTGGCACTGCACCTCCAAAGACTCAAGCAGAAATCCTTCTTAGGCCTGCTATCTGAGAGATTTTTTATTAATTGTAGAAATCGGGGATTGAATTGGGACCTTCTCTGTGCCCCTGCTCTTTGATAAAGCTTTTACAAATCACTGTAACTTAGACATTAAAAACATGCCTATACCCTCTAAGAGAAGATTACAGCCAACATTATGAACAAATCATTCCATTTTATACTGCCCTTTCTCCAAGAAGCTCAGAGCTCTGAACATAGTTCCCCTCCTACCTCTACTTTATCCTCACAATAGCCCTGTAAGGGTAGATTAGGCTGAGAGATAATGAACTGGTACAAAGTTGTTCCAGTGAGCATCATTGATATATGAGGTTTTGAACCTGGGTCCCCTCAATCTAACACTGGAACTACTACACTTTCCTGGCTCTCAACATGCTGCTGTAATCAGTATTTTCAAGTTAACAGAACAGAATCCTGTTGGATAAGAAAACCTATGATATAAGGCCAAATCCTCTCTTTTCACCTTTTTCATCCAACTGAGCCATCCTACCCTCCTCATGTTCATCCCTGCTTTATTTCTGGTTTGAGCACTGTCTTTTACCTGCCTGCTCTCCTGCCCCCTTACTGGTTGAAAGAACTTTGTGGAGTTGTTCTTGGCAATTCCCCTTCCTCTTCTTCTGCTTCTTTGCCATAATAATGGTTGATAAAATGAAAATGTGAAAGTTTTGTTTACTTGAAGGAATTAGGAAAACAAATATGGGAGGAAACTATAATTGTAAATGCTTATGTGCTATGGGGTTCCTTCTCTTTGCTTGTAATATAACTTACACCTGCTTGCATCTCAAGTTTATTCAGACACTATACGCTGCATCTATCAAATGACTCTACATGTTGAATTTTAATTTTCCAAAGTATGACTTTCAAATGTGGTATTTTTATGCATGTAGTGCATGCTGTATTCCAAACTGATATATCCTGAACAAGTGATGTGTTTTAAACTTGCCATATGTAAGATATTGCAGTTACTGAGGTTTACTGCTTATTTTCCTTCTATTTTCTTAATACTTTGTACAAAAATAAAATAGTTTCTATATATAAATTACAAAATGAAACATAGTATTATCATCAATGATTAATGATAATGTCTTACAAAAATATCAATAGTCCCAGATGAACACACTGATTAGAATATCGATAGTCCCAGACAGTGTTCCCTCTAAGCTGAGTTAGTGTGAGCTAGCTCATTGTTTTTCAGCTTCCAGCTCACACATTTTCGTCTTCGCTCAGGAAATATGGCTCCAGAGCAAACTAATGTATGCAGTAGCCAAATCGCCCGCTCAGAACTTTAATGCCAGTAGCTCACAAAGTAGGATTTTTGCTCACAAGACTCCACAGCTTAGAGGGAACATTGGTCCCAGATGAACACACTGATTAGAATATCTATTCCAACATTGTAAAAAACTGATTGCCATTTTCATAATTCCCTAAACCAAGCAAGACTGTGAACCTCCATGAAAACATAGCAAATTTAGGCCAGGAAGGGATTGGGCTGAAATTGGCAAATATTCTGTTCCTGCCATAACCCTTATTTGGAGTTAAATCCCACTGTGATTTACTACCAAGGGAATGTGCACAGATTCAGGCTGTTGAGTGCCTACGAAAGAGATAGAATGATCTAGGTTGGCGTGATCAGCGACAGCTTGCTCACATCTGAGCAGATAGCACGTGTACTAGAAGACATTGAACAGATGTGTATTATAGTATAGGATCATATGGAGGGAAGACGTGAACGATTCTAAGGCAGACTGCCAGATAGCTGCTGCTGTTCTCAGCAGGGAATATTGGAATGGCACTGATGCCTCCAGCACTCCACCTTCGTTGATTTCAATCTGTCTCCTTGTGTGAAATCACAGCTGATTGACTCTATTCATGGAGGCTGAAAAAGGGATGCTGAAAAAGGAGAAGTGTGTGTACCAACCCATTTGGATAATGTTTTATAGAAGCCCATACTGTGGCATATAAGGGAGTAGATATAGTAACAATGCTGTGTCAGGGCATATACACCCTTGCTTTTGCCAACAGTGTGAAACATCTCTAAATGTGTCTGAAACTAAAGCTGCAAATATCTAAGCCTGCTAAAATTCAGTCATGATGTCTTGGATATCTTTTTTAGATATGAAAAAAGCAGTCAAGCCTGTGAAGGAAAAAAAAGGTAAGCGCTGGATAGCTTTCTTAAAAACCATGTGAATGTGTTAATTTCACTAACACATTTTAATGTAGCATTACTAAGCTGACTTTCAGATTCTTATAACCTGTTGAGTTTTCATCTTCTTAACCTATATAGGAAAAACAGTGCAGAAGACACATATGAAAGAGGAAAAGGGCAAAGGTAAGTGAAGGAAGGGTGTAAGATTTTGCAAGCATAGAAATCACGGGTCTCAGGAATCAAAAGGATCTCTTTATAGTGTATTCAAGAAAAGGAAAGATCTGAGTTCATATATTCAGCTGCACTGTTTGGACTTCCTACATTTCTACAACTTTCAGAAATCATCAGGATTGGTATGGCTTAAGTCTCTTATAGTTTCTATGGTTATCATACCCAAAGGACAGATCTCATCTGCATCACATCTCTTCCCCATCCTTGTGTAGATGTGAATATCAGACACATCATGCACTATAATTTTTGTACATGTAGAAAAAAGTATGTGCATCATCATCAAGTATTAAATGTTTGCTGTGCTGTATGTAGGGTTTCTTTAAATGCCTGAGTTTACTGGCTGGCTGGAGAAGGGATTTAAAGAGATCTCTTTAAATTTGTTCCCCAAGTTGGCCCATATCACCACTGCTGAACTGCATGACTCGGCGAGTGAACTCAGGCATTTAAGGTTATGCTGAAAATTTGGTGCCTCTACCTCAAAAAACAGCACACACACCCCGAGCCTCAGAAACCTCCAGATTGATTCTCCATTATAGTCTATGGGGAACAGTCCCCATAGGCTATAATGGAGCTGAATAAATTCAGATTTCCCGATTATTTCCCAAATCCCAATACCATACTGATATTGAGATTTGGGAATATTGGGAAATATTGATTTGGGGGGGTTCTGATATACCTGAACCCAGAAAATGCCATTTTTTTCACACCGTACTAGGCATCTTACTAAGGATATTGTAGCCCAATCAGTCAGCTATCTGTGGAAGTCTTGACCAAGGCCCTGGAGAAAGGAATGGGAAGGATGAACATCAACAAATTGCAGCTCAAAGACTGCAGTGCTGTTGTGCAATGGCAAAGATGTTTGTGGACTGAGGAGTGTGCCTGTCCTGGAAGGAGTTGTGGTCTCCCAGAAGGAACAGGTTTGTAGCTTAGGGATGCTGCTAGAACCAGGTCTATGGTTGGAGGTTCTTCTCTGTGGTACATAGTGCCTTTCATCAGCTTTGACTGATATGTCAGTTTGACAAGCATGGTTATCACTTCCAGGCTAGATTGCCTTAATGTGCTTTTAAAATTGTCTGTAAATGGTCCAAAATGTGGCAGCAAGATTATTACTGAGGACTGGACAGAGGGCTGATATCTTGAGCTGAAAGATCTGCATTGGCTGTTCATATGCTTCTGGGCACAATTCAGATTCTTGGTTCTTACCATTAAAGCCCTAAATGGATGGTGGGTGGGTGTACTTGAAGGACTGCCGCCTCCCATATTGGCCAGCCAGCCAGGTGAGATCCTCCTCACAAGACCTGCTTCCAAAGCTCCTGAGCTGTGTTGGATGAACTCCCATAAAAATCACCCTAGAAGACTTTGGCATATCCAAGATTTGAATGAATATCTAAAGAAAATTCTGTAACTTGCCTGCCTGTATAACAAAAGATTGTCTCTTGTTGACAATGTAGATTTTGACATGAAAATCATGAAAATTTGGTTCAGATCTAGTTTAGAAGAAGAAGAAGAAGAGATTGGATTTATACCCCGCCCTTCACTTGGAGTCTCAGAGTGGCTTACAAACTCCTTTCCCTTCCCCTCCCCACAACAGAAACCCTGTGAGGTGGGTGGGGCTGAGAGAACTCTGACACAAACTGCTCTTTTTCAAGGACAGCTGTGCCAGAGCTTGTGACTGACCCAAGGTCACATCAGCAGGTGCAAGTGGAGGAGTGGGGTATCAAACCCGGTTCTCCCAGATTAGAGTCCGCACACTTAACCAAACTGGCTCTTCTGGTTTAAACAGAAGAGTGCTCATAAGCACCAATATATCCTTGAGCCTGTTGGTTTGATATTTTTTCATGAGATATGGATCCTTTTATATGCAACCAGATTTTCACATGAAAATTCCTTTTCTTCATGACTTTAAATTCTGCTGATTCTGTGAAACTTAAGTTAAAATGATAGTTCCTGATTTAAAAGATCTTTTTTTAAAAAAAATATCATGTTTGAACTTGTACAGTGACTATAGCTTCTGCTTAACTGCATAAAATTTTAACAGTATAAATGTGCTTTTCATGCCAAATTTGACCTTTGAATCCAAAGTTAATGAGATTGCTCTGTTTTCTTAACAGTTCCAGCAGTAAAAGAAACCCATAAACATCACAATGTGACATCAGGTAACTACTGGTTCCTTTTTATTTCAGTGGCACTTGATCATAACTAACTTTTTCTGGATTGGCATCAAAGACGAGTGACCATTTATGAAGCAATAACTTGCCACTGTGTACCTATAATATCGTGTTATGTTGGTCATCTTTATTTGGCGTAGAGATACATGATGCTGCCTTGCTGTAGCTAAGTAGGTCTGTACCTGATCAGAGCCAGGAGGGCAGAGACCTCCTGGAAACTGCATTGCTGTGATACAGGTGTATTAATGCAGGTGTGCTAAGCAGTTATCTTCATAGCATGCTCAATTAATATTACACATATAATCATCTGTACATCAATGATATTATTACTATTACTCTCAACTTTCAAATGGAGTAATTTTCCCATACTGAAAATATACAAATAGATAGCTCTGAATTAGCCAAAGATATAACAAGCATGTCCTACTATGTGTATCCTAGGACACATAAGTAGAGGGTTTATAGTGCAAGGCTATTTGTCTGCATATATCTCTTCTAAAGCACAGGAGGGTAGATTATCAGTTGGTGCTCTTCAGTGACCACAAGTCTGAAGTCATGTGCACATTTCAATACTTTTCATAGCTTTCTATGTAAATGGAAATAAATACAGATTTCCCACAAGGACTGGTCTTGGTTACCATAGAGTTTTGGTCAAAATGCTAGAATGTCGCTGTGCGATGTGCCCAGCATGATGACATCTCTGTGCTGATCTATTAATCCAAACTCTATGGCCCAGTTAATATGACAGATTTTTTTCTTTTTCTTTTTTTTTAAATGCCAAATACAACTAATTATTACCCCACTTTACATTATGTTGGAAGGATCTATTTTTAAAAAACCTCTATTCCGAATCAGTATGTAATTCCAGAAGAAATGCAATATAGATGTAGACTGCAGAAATGGGAGTGTTACATTCGCTATTCACTGTAATAAGAAAAGTTACACCTCAGGGAAAAGATGAGAGATTAGGTAGCAAGAAAATGTCCATGTTACGTACATAAAATGCTATGCTTCTGCTGGAAACAAATTGGGATTCTCCCCCCCCCCCAAAAAAAAAGTTTTACCTTTTGCATTTATAGTGGTGGATAAGATGATTGTTTCTTAGATGCTTGCCTGTGTAAAGAAGTTGTTCCAGGGCATATTATCATTGCTTTCAAGCAAATTAACTGTGTTAATTGCAAAGAGCCTTTCCTGTGAACCCTCTGACTTGTGGATTTCTTTCCTTCCAGACAAGATTTCAAAAGCTGCAAAGTCAAAAGGTAAGTTTTGTTTAGCATTTTAAAGACATTTGTTTCTCAGCTGACATCCTGTAGTTGAAAATATTGTACAAAACATAAGTTTGTAAATTGTGGTTAAAAATGTTATCTTTACTGGGACAGTGAGAAAAATGAATCATTGGCCCCCTGAAAACTTTTTTTTGGCCTGTAGGGAAATATTAAATAAAATGTGGTAAACCTGTTGCTGCTATTTGGTGAAAGAGAAAAAGTAAACTGCCACCAAAAGGGAATTGAAAGACAAGATCTAGAGTATAACACTTGAGTGATGTCCAGTGATGAAATTTCTATTGCTTTAAATGGACGAGGGTTGCAGTCCATGAAATGATGAGTGCATCCACATGTGTCATTTAGCATGGCTAAATGGTTCTGAACATTGTCCTCTAATTACAAGACTAGGGTCCCGGTCACACGAGCTAGATAACGCGGGGGGAGGCGTGGCTATTAGCGCCATCGCAATTTGATGCACCCCAATGCAATCAGATGCAATGGTGTTGCTTCCTTCGGAAGTTGTTTCCAGCGCGCTCCAACCAGGAAGCAGGGACTCGAGAGGAACACGCTGGGGCGATCAGATGGAGAGTGTCTGTCTGCAGCCCATCACAACCGTTTAATACTGGAGTTTCCCAGGTACTTTTAAACTCCGCATCTTCGTCCGGACGATACCGGTTGGCCACGGGTGCACCACGCTTGCCAGATGTGGCGGTATGATCACGCCCATATAATCTGCCTGGCATTCGTGGCTCTCCAGCGGCAAACTCTGCATGTGATCGGGGCCCAGGTCTTGCATTACAACTCTTGCAATGGCCGTAGCATTCCTTTTCATATATCCCTGTCTGTACGCAACACAAGAAAGCTATTCAACACCTCAGCTAAAGCAGAGAAAAACACTGAGCAGGAAAAATGACAAGATGGAAATCAGGTGAGGCACTGTTCCAGTGGATTTCCTATACCTTAATATTCACACTTAAGCATAGTACCATGAGAATTATTTCATCATTATCCAATTCTGCATCACCACGTGAATGGAAGAACCATGTATGTGAGTCTAATGATATGGTACCCTCCTGTATAAGCATCACCTAGCTGGAGGGGAAAGCACTGCTCACTGTAGTACAGTTCTGTTCTGTTCTGCCTCTTACTTTGGCCTTCTGGTAGACCTCTGGTAACTTAAGGAAAGTGGTGCTCATTTGGGAACAATTCCCTTATGGGATACCTTTCTTTGTGAACAATTTAATTAGTCTGCCACTAAACAAAGGAAACACAAACCCACAGCAGTGTTCCGTCTAAGCTGAGTTAGTGTGAGCTAGCTCACAGTTTTTTAGCCTCCAGCTCACACATTTTTGTCTTAGCTCAGGAAGGATGGCTCCAAAGCAACTGATTTATGCAGTAACCAAATTACTCGCTCATAACTGTAATGTCAGGAGCTCACATAGAATTTTTGTTCACACAACTCCACAGCTTAGAGGGAACATTCCCCCCCCCCCCCCAGGGCACCACAAGTGTCTTTATGGGAATTTACCAGCATCACTTGGGTCTTTTAATCCCTGGTTTACACAATCTGAGGCAGTATGTGGTGGTGGCTTTAATGCTGTTTTGTGTAGTAACCTGTTTAAGTGTTACTGAAAATGACCCTTTGGTCAAATGTGAGAGCAGTTCAAGAGTAAGGAATTTCATAGGCAGAAAATCTTATATAACCAGAAACCTCAGGGGGTTTGTGTAAATATGTATGTGTATATTGGGGGGAAGGGCTTTAGCAAAATAGCTCCCAGCAAATATATTCAGCACAATACCTTCCAGCAATATGTCATAAAGCCATTGTGAAAGCAATACAACGAGCTCTAGAAAGATGTGTAACGAATGCATAGACTGGAAGCAGGTTAAGTACATATTAGGAGTATGTAATAGAAAGGCACAAATGTAGAAGTAAAGTCTCACATACCTTATGTTACACAATACCTGGTGTCCAAGGTCACACAATGTAGGCCAGAAAATGCAGCACACACGTCTCCGTGGGGTCATTTCTACAGTTGGGCACCCTCTATTGCTCCCTCTAAGCTGTGGAGTCTTGTGAGCAAAAATCCTGTTCCCAACTAACCATCAACGTACCATTATCTGCCCCTCTGACTGCAGCTGACTTCTGCCTTCCCTCCTGGAGAGCAGTTGTAATTCTGAGTGATCTCCAGGCCTCACCTGGAGATTGGCAACAGTGGTTCCCCATGAGGGAATGGCTGGTTGGGAGGGTGGAGTCTATGGCATTGTACCTATTTGAGGTCCCACCCCTCCTCAAACCTCACCCTCTCCAGGCTCCACCCCTCAAATCTCCATGAATTTCCCAACCTGGAGTTGGCAACCCTAACTCCTTCCCAGCCAACCATCAACCTGCCGTTATCTGCCCCTCTGATTTCAACAACTGATCTCCTCCCCCCTCCCTCCTGGAGATCAGTTGTAATTCTGAGTGATCTCCAGGCCTCACCTGGAGATTGGCAACAGTGGTTCCCCATGAGGGAATGGCTGGTTGGGAGGGTGGAGTCTATGGCATTGTACCTGTCTGAGGTCCCACCCCTCTTCAAACCACACCCTCTCCAGGTTCCATCCCTCAAATCTCCAGGAATTTCCCACCTGGAGTTGGCAACCCTATCTCCTTCACAGCCAATCATAATCCTACCTCTCTCTTCAGCTTTCCATTTCCCCACACACACACCTGCATCCTCATCCGTGCTCTGATGCCCGGACTGCCACAGAGTCCACCATTTTCTGAGCTCTGAAGCCCTGACTGCCACAGAGTCCACCATTTTTTCCAGGGGAACTGATCTCTGCCATCTGGAGAGCAGTTGTAATTCTGAGTGATCTCCAGCCCCCACCTGGAGATTGGCAACAATGGTTTCCCAGGAGGAAAAGTAGTCTTTCTCTGCAATGGGGACCAAAACAGCTGATATCATTCTCCTCTCCCCCTTTTGACTTGCACAACAGCCCTGTGAGGTAGGTAAGGCTGAAAGTCTATGACTGGTCCAAAATCACCCACTCAGCTTCTACAGCAAGAACCTGGATCTCTGAAGCACTGATGGCTACTCCTAGGGTAGCCAACCTCCACACAAC